ATTTCCTTATCATTTCCTTATCCATTCCAAGCTGTCTTGTTAGCCGAAAGTGTATGGCCTAGTTAACATCGTTCATGGTGATTCTGCATACTCTAGTGTGAGGGGTCTTACTGCATTTAATGCTATAGTGGCCTCATTAAATGGCTGATGTGTGGGTGCAATAATTTTGCAGGATCTTTGTTTACTTACGTGACTAATTCCTTGCCCAACAAGTGTTTGAATGCTATTGGTCCTGAGCCAGCATTGACTTCTCAAAGTTATTGGGGTTTAACACCTAGGCCATGAACTGGGCCTTAAGCCGTGGGTTGGGCCCCCTTGGGTGTCCATCAATATCATATATATATCAAAATTATACCTAAAAACTTTCATTTCAAGAGTCTCCTCTCATGAGAAAGAGTCTCATTAGAAGCTTGAATAAATTATAAAAGTCTATTTCTATTTATAGGAAAAGATTGTTAAAAGAGAATCTAAAAATTCAATATGAAATTCAATCAAATTGTTTGAATCATATTTGATTGGAGGGAAAGTTTAAAATTTTATTTCTCTCCAAAATTAAATTTAACATTCAATCAATTTGTTTGGAGAGAATGTTAAATTTTTTAATTTCTTTAAAACTATTGAATTTTTTTTAAAATTATCAATTATGACTTTATTAAATATTATTAATAAATACTATGCAACATTTTTTTTTATTTCAATACTTATATATATTTTTATTTATTTATAATTATATTTTTTAATTATATATTATTAATTATGACGTCACGGTTCAACCGGTTCAACTCAATAGTTGAACCAATAACCCGTCCACCCCAATCGCTTTTCTGATTCACTCACCGCTCCGATTTTCAAAACATTGACTGAAGGTTCATCCAACTACTGCTAAACATTTGGGCTATGAATTCTTCTTCGTTACGGCTTTATACAAATGGGTCCAAGTGCAACTTGACTTAAGATAGTTGAAAGGTCATGGGGCAAATTTGGATTGGAGTAAAGTGTAAGGGTGCAAGAGAGAGGCCGAGGGGTTAATTAGGGTTTTGGTTTTAGCTTGTGGGTTTGGGTTTGGGTTTGGATAGTAGGTATGGATTTTTGATTAAAATTTTTTGTATAATAATCAGTTTGTTTGGTTTGGATTTTCAAGATTTATTTTTTAAAAATTTGATTTTTTTTATTTTTCATATTTTTTGCTTTCACTGAATTTTTTTAATATTCTAAGCAATTTTTAAATACATATAACATAAATACACTTAAAAAGTATAATATTGTGAAAAAAATCTTTAGAAAATTCACTAAATATAAAAAAAATGGGAGAATTTAATACATTTTTCGTATTATTGTGTATTTATTGATCTTTTAAAATATTTACTTACAAATATTTTACTTTTTAGATATATTTAAGTAAAGTGTATCTAAAAAAATATAAACTAAAAATAAAAAATTTCATTTTCAAAAAATTGAAACTAAACTGAACATTTTTATGTCATGTGGCCCCATATGGCAGCCAACATAGCATATTCTATTAAAAATTGGATGGCTGTTAGTGTTTGGATTAAATTGGGAATAATTATAAACCTTAACGATTAAAGTGAGAAAGAAAAAGTTAAAATGAAAAAAATGATAAAACTTAAAAAGGAGAAAGTATAGTTTACCCCTACCCCCCCAAAAAAAAAAAAAAAAAGATTAGCTTGTATTCAATTGGATTCGGGTTGGTTTAGAAATTAATTATTTTAATTGATTTTTAAATTTTTTATAAAAAAACGTTTGAAAAAATAGAGAGAGTGGTATAATAATTTATAGTGATTATTTTGACTTTTTAACTATTATAGCAATTCTCCAAAGTTAAAGACATTGGGTTTGTGGGGTCCATTTATGATTCTTTTTGTATAATTTAAAAAATTAAGTTGATTGATATCAATAAATTATATGATCGGATCATATTTATTTTTGTGTATATTGATGATTAATCATTTTAGTTTTTTTTACGTAAATACTATACTCAATAAGCCGTAGTGATGAATGGTTAAGATTATAGAAGGAAACCTACTAGACAAAATCCAAACATTCCAAATTTAAAAAATAAAAAATACACAAATGTTTTCAATCAATCTATTTCTTATTTCTTGGATAGTTTTGGTAAACACGTCCTTTGATACTAATATAAACGAGATCACACTATACATGAACTTGTTTAATCTTTGTGTTGTTGGCTTGTATCAAGTACTCCCCTTGATTTCCATGGCTTTTATTACGAGTTATGGCCCATCTACAAATCTCTTTTTGATGGTGATGATGATTAATATCAGACTTGCAAGTCTCTGTTGCTAATGGTCCATCTCCAAATCTTTTTGATGATGATGATGATGCTTAATATCAGACTTGCAAATCTCTGTTGTTGAGATCAATTTTATGTCTGTATTCTCTCTCTCTCTCTCTCTCCTCTTCTCTTCTCTCTCTGTGTTCGAAAGAATGAAAAGAAAAGAATGAAAATGAAAAAAAAAAAACACTGCCCAAAACGACGTCATTTTGGACAATTCGGACCATTCGAGTCGGAGGAAATTCAAGCTACGAGTCATTTCTCCAAACAAACCAAGCCCATCACATTAGCTACTGACCATTTAGTAGTACTATCACCCCCACATCGTATGCAACAAAACCCAAAAAACAAAAGTTAGGGGCTCCGGAAAACAGGTTGATATATAAGAATTATGTGGCACAAATTCTGTGGTGAAATTTCACTGTCAGTTTGTGCAAATTCGATATTTTAACAACAACAATGATTTAGAGCTCTAAATAAGGAGCTCTAAATTCACCACTATAAATCCACCACTAGTAAGGTGGAATTTGAAAAAAAATAAAAATAAAAACAAAAACAAAAACAAAAACAAAGCATAACATACACCGTGGCAGTGGGTGGGATCCACTGCCACATCATTAGTGGTGGCTCTAATTAGAGCTTTTAAGTATTTTTGTTTTAACAATTTTATGTGACTATTAGTCATTGGGGATTGATGTCACATCAATCAATTAGTAAAAAAAAAGGTGTATGAAAATTTATTGATTTGTATAATATTAGTTAATTTTGATTGACTTGCAGCGATGTAGAAATCTTTGGTGAAGAATCCATAGAAGAACCACATGGTGGCATGGAGGGTGAGGGAAAATGATAGAGTGAAGGGCATGTGCTCTACGCTCTTGGTTCTAATCACTCTCCTCTGCACAAAGCATGCATATATATGAAGTGTGTTTGGATTGCAAGAAAGAGGAAGAAAAGGAGTAGGAAAATCGAGGATTAGGTAGGTAAGTACCATGATGCTAAGACGAGAAGCCAAAACGGCAAGGTTGAAAGCAGCACAGATCCAACCCATGACTGAAACTCTAGCTTGCAGCTTTGTGGTGCTCATTCGGGATGGTGTGATGGAACAAGTGAAGTTTTACAAATCTTTTATAGTAATCTCAGTACTTCCAGGTTCTCTCTCTTGTCAAATGAAAAGGTCACATTTTTTTTCTTCTTTTTATTTATTATTTTTTCTGATCTTCCAAACAGGGTTGTATTGAAATAACTTCTCTTTTCATGCATTGAGTTTGAGAGAGTATAGACATTGCTGTGAGTCTCTCTCTTGTTAAGTGGAAAAAAGTAACTTCTTTAAATCTGTAATTTTGTCGTATATAAATATCTGTTAAATCTCCCTTTGATTTCTCACTTGCTTGCTGTCGGCTCTAATTTAAAAATTCTTGTGTGATGTAACATTTTTCTTAACATATCAATGTGTTTAGAAATTAATTTTGAAATATTGTGGTTCATTTGGATCCTGGGATGAGAAGAATTTTAATTTTTTTATTATTATATTTAAATAAGTAAAAAAACAAAGCATGCGATTTAGAAATGCAGGTGAAATTTCTTTTCTTCCTCAATAATTTAATGGACAATATTGATATTATGAAAAAATATACAACCAATCAATGTATTTTTTTTACCAATTTTCAGCACTTTCTTTTGAAAATAAATGAAACTTAGGGCTTGTTTGGGGTGTCATAAATAAGTGTACTTTTTGACTTTTTGGACTAAAAAATTGAGAGAAAAAAGATAGTTGTTTGGAATAAATTTTTGACTTTTTATAAAAAGTTGTGTAATATAATATTAGTTAACATGGTAAAATGACTGTTTTACCCTTCGTCACTTACACACAATCTCGGCAGTACGTGTCACCGTTGCGCAGCGTCACTTTACGTCTGTGGTGACAATCACTTCCAACATATAATTTTTAAATATTTTTCTTCATTTCCATGGACACTGTGCAACGGTCAAAGGCACTTATATCTTTTCTTTATTCATAATTTTTGTTTCTTGCAGCCAAATTTTTTTTTGTTTTTCTTTTCCCTAACATTTTTGTTTTTATTATTTTTCATTTTAAAACAATGTATTTTTTTAATTCTTTTCCTTTTATCATTATTATTTGTTTTATTTCTTTCCTTTTTTATTCAAATTTTTTTTCCATTCTTTTCCACTTAACATAATTTTTTTTTCTTCCCGTTGTAGTCGGTACTTGTCCTTTTAATATTATTATTTTTTTTGTTTTCATAATTTTATTCAATTTCTTTTTTCCACTCTTTTCGTTATAATTTTTGTTTTCTTTCTTTTCCTTTGTTGTGAATATTTCTTTTTCATTCTTTTCGGTTTTTTTTTCTTCTCCTTTTCACATTTATATTTTATTTTTTATTCTTTTCCTTTTAATATTATTAATTTGGGTTTATTATTTTCCTTTTTTTGTCATTTTTTTTGTATTCTTTTGTTTTTACGTGTAAATTTTTGTTGAATGTTTTCATTTTTTATTCATTACTTTTTTTCTTTTCCTTTCAAAATTTTTTTTTAAATTCTTTTCTTTTCGCTTTTATTGTTTTCGTTTTAACAAATTTGGTTTCATTCTGTTTTAGATTGCTTTTTTTGTCATTTTTTTTTTCTTTTCCCTTTCTATTATGCCCAGTGCTGTTCTAGGTTGTTCAACCAAGTTTTTTTATTTTATTCTTTTCATTTCGTTTTCAATAGTGTTTTTTGGACATATGTAGCATAAAATTGGATACAAAACTTTATCAACTTCCTGCTGTGAAGTATTACAAATTTAGAAATACAAAACACATTAACAAACCATGATAATAATCTTGCGACGGATCTGAGTTACACACATTACAAATTTAACCAACATTAATGTTTCAATTATTCGTGTTCAGTTGCTGGGCTAATTGGTATGTAATGTTCGCTCGTACAACTGTCATTGCGGGGTCGGAGTCCCCTTCCTCAATCACATCTGCAACCCGTGCGTATTCATCGTGGTCGGGCATTTCGGGAGCCACGTATTCGGTGCTATTTGCGATAGGAACTGTGACCTCATCAATTTCACTGTTTCGGCGTATGAAGTTATGTAACGCCATCGACGCACACACAAAGATCACTTGATTAGCGAAACTCAACTTCTGAATATTTCGCAATCCCCCCCACCTCGACTTCCACGCACCGAATGTCCGCTCGATACAACTACGCAATGACGAATGTGCCTTATTGAATAGTTCGAACTCATTTTGTGGTCTTCGATTTCGATGAGCATTTTGGTGATACCTATATCCCTTGTATGGGGCTAGGTACCCTGTCTTGTTGCTGTAGCCGCTATCCACCAAGTAGTATTTTCCTACAACGAACATTTTTTTACAAACAAGTTGTTTGAGAAAAATAATTTTGCGTCCTTTTTTTTTTCAGAGGATATTATCTATTTTTGGTAAGTTCTCAACTACGATAGCAAGTACGAATGTGTAAATTGTCTTATATTATTTTCAGATTATACTACTTTGTTACGTAAGATATACTTTTACCAGGTGCGGGGTGCGGGAAGCGATGTTTAGGTTCGGTTGTCACGTAGTGCAGCACCCTACTGTTGTGCATGCTCCCGTCCCAACCGGCTGACACAAACGTGAAGCACAAATCGAAGTCACATACGGCCAGTATGATCTGTGTTGGGACGCCTTTCCGGCCGTAATACGAAGTGGCGTACTCTTCCGAGACACGAGCCATCACGTGCGTGCCGTCTAGTGCACCGATGCAGTCCTACACAACGCACCATTACGCAGAATATATAAATACTAATTCATGGTATATGTCGCCACAGTGATATTTAAAATTATGTGAAACAGTCTCACCTTGAATGGCCGGTATCGCCGTTGCGATTGTAATTGTGGGTGGCCCCCCTGTTGCACTTGCTTAGGCGTAAGACTCCTACTATGAACCGCTGTGAACGGTATCATAACATTCAAAACCTCATGGAAATTCCGTGACAAAGTCTCCTTCGAGTGTTGGAACCGTTCTTGCAAATCTTTCATCTTCATTCCCTGCAATGCACAAATGAAAATGGCAACCTTCTCTTCTAGCGGAACGCCATGCTCCCGCTGTGGCAGTGTCAATCCGAAACTATGAAGAGTGTCGCATAACATCAAGAACACTGGTTTGGACATGCTGACAGCATCTTCAAACCGGCCTTGGTGACCGTTAAACAACTCATACATCCATAAACGTCCTGTAAGTATGGATGTATTTCGAGGCACTCTGTGATAATGGTTGTAGTAATATGTAGCTGCACTGTTATACGCCTCTAGGAAGTTGTGATCAGTTCTGACCATCATTTCCCGTGCAATTTCATCGATAGCTTCCCAGGCTACATTACTGGGCACAGTGTAACTAGGACCTGCGTCGTCTGCCATTCTGGAAGTACGAGGCTGCCTACCAAGAAAATTGTTACGCCTTTGGACAATGAAACAAGAAGATTGTGGTCTTATATAAACAAATCAAAGCTGAGCATGCGCAAAGATTGGGATAGGACCTTTGAAACCAAAATTTCAACAAAGCAACACAAACGGATTCTCTTCTTTGAAAAGAAAATTGTGGTGGGACCGTTGAAACCAAAATTTCAACAAAGCAACACAAACGGATCATCTTCTTTGAAACCACAAAATTGAGCATGCGTAAGAAAGGATTCTCTTCTTTGAAAAGAATATTGTGGTGGGACCGTTGAAACCAAAATTTCAACAAAGCAACACAAACGGATCATCTTCTTTGAAACCACAACATTGAGCATGCATAAGAAATGATTCTCTTCTTTCAAATAGTCATGTGGTGGGACCGGTGACACCAAACTTTCAACAAAGCAACACAAACGGATCCCCTTCTTTGAAACCACAACATTGAGCATGCATAAGAAATGATTCTCTTCTTTCAAATAATCATGTGGTGGGACCGGTGAAACCAAACTTTCAACAACTTCACGTGGTGTCCATGCAAATTGGGCAACACACAAATTATGGGGGGCTTCAACAATAATTTGTTCTCTTCTTTTTGGTAATAGATACCTTCATTATTGGTGTAAATGAAACTGTGTGCTGGGCCGACAAAGCATGTAAGAAAAACAAAAGCCAATCCTCACGTGTCATTTTTTCGTCACCTTAAAAAAAAGGGAGTACTGATTATAATATAAATAAATAGATAAAAACAAAACAACGGTTCGAATATCGTCCTTATATTTTTAACAACAAAAATTGGAAATTAGTGATAAATTATTACCATTTTTTGACCATATTTTTTGTGTCAAAAAATAAAAAAATTTTAGACCAAATTATTTTCTCCCAAAAAATGTATTTATTAATAACCTTTTAAAAATTGTCCCTAAATGTCTTGTTTTTATTTTTCGGGACGACCCTAAAAATTATAAATTTAATTATTAATATGTATAAAACTTTTCGTTATTTTAATTTAATTTTTTAAAAAAGTAACCTGATGTGTAATCAACTAATTTCGTGCACTTCCTACCAAAACTAGTGACTTGTGTTTATGGAGATTGTTTCCTCGCCTAATCAAAAGGAATAAAAAAATTACTCAAACTGATTTGAAACCAGTATATTATATTTGATTTGATTAATTTTGATTGAGATATCAAATATTACGTTTTCACAATTTCAAACCATTACATTATGTATTTGATTTGAATAATTTTAACTGAGATTTAAAATTTTACTTTTTCACTTTGTAATATGATAGATTTTAATACGAACTTTACAACTCTCTAGCAAGAAAGGTGAAGGTGAATCTCACCTCGTGTGATAAAATTATATCTGATTGAATTTTTGTTATTAATTTAACAAATTATAGATGGATGAGATTGACAAAGTGGTCTGAACCACCAAAAACGAACTCATCCAAAAGGGCCGATAGAATGTATTTGTCATCACCATCACTGAAGTGACCAAAAATGAACTCATCCAAAATGGTCTATAGATAATGTATTTATGTTTCATCAAAAAGAAATGATAATAAACCTATTTGGCAGCAACAAGCATATACTACAACATCAACATCATCACACAAATATTATCAACTGATAATGTCCGAAAAATTCGACCAACAATGCCATCGTTTTGGGAAGGAAGGATATTTGCCCAACTGTTTGTTCCAAGGGGGAGAAAAACAAAAGGCAACACACAAACATTACATAAGAAACATTACATCAATATTCATTACCAGCCACCACCCAAACATTAATAAAGAAGCAACACACAAACATTAATAAGGAAACACAAATTATTTGCTGGGAAATCTCAGAACCAGCCACCACCCATTCCGGGATTTGCTGTTGATGGTCCACCAATGCATTGCTCACGGGACTTCTTTGTTCGCAACCAAGCAATGACAGCCGCGTCTGTAGGAATCGACATCATTTTGGCTTGATTTGCAAGGTTGTCAAGTACCGATTGCGCAAAAGGAACTAGCGGGTCTTGCGGATCCAGCCCTTCCAGCGAATACAACCGTGTCATACACTTCTCAATTAGCTGCTGTGCCGAATCTGCGTAATCATGTGAGACGCGGATTTGTCGTTGTTGTAATTTCACGGAGGATGCAAGGTTTTCCATACTACTCGCCAACAGAGAAGCTCCCTCACTCTGCCCTCTTTTCCGCTGTGGGTGTGTTGGGCCTGGCGATTTGCGTTTGTTCATGCCACTAGTTGGTGTGTCGTCAGCGTTAATGCCCGACGACGCAGCGTGCACGGGCGCCGGCGTGCCATCCTCTTGCGCAACAGTGTGTTGCACAGTGTGTTCATGCTGCGCGGCAGGCTGGAAAGGGGGCAGCCCGCTGCTATCCTCGCAGTCTTCGTCAGGAGCCTGCGAAGTACCGTCATCGGGTGCCACAGGTTCGAACGCTGCACCTGGTGTCCATGCATATTTTCCGATTGCTGTAGCGCCTTCGTACACCCTTCGCATGAGGTCCATGTGCTCCAACGGTTTTGTTTTGAACTTGATTGCATTCTTGTCAACCTGCGAAAAACAACCAAAAACCCATCGGCAGAACTTCATGTCAGATAGTGAAACAGAGAATAATGGGGAGCAAACACAGGCAGCAAAGAAATAGGCTTATGTATCCATGTAAATAACATACATAATAACGGTTATTTGTGGATTATTTATTAAAATAAAAAATAGATTGATTCGGTAGTCACATAATGTCAATATGTTTGTGTTAAAGAAATAGATAATGTAGGCCATAACCAACCTATTTGGATGATCTATATTGTTCATTTTATGGACTTATATTTGTAGATTATTTATTAAAATAAAAAATAAATTGAACTAGACAGTCACATGATTTCATTATGTTTGTCTTAAAGAAATTAATAATATATTTTCCAAAGCATACGTTTTATTGGGTGAAAATGAGTACTATTATTGGGTGAATAATATTTTTATTAATAATTGACATACAGCGGATTCGAAGGAGCAACGGTTCGAATTATGAATTTAAAGGCTGTAGTGGGCTCAACAGAACCAACTAGATGGCTCAATCTTCTCTTCAGTTAACAGAGAAGGTAGACCCCATTCCAAATATTATGTAAAAAATTGAAATGGAGATACAAGGTAATAAACAACCAACACGTACGGGTCTAAAAAATGTTCAAAGCAATACAACAAGAAAGGCCTCTATGCTGATAAGGAGATATGAATTGTAACTTCTTAGTAACGAACATAAACTCGTAACCAACGGATTAACTTATTGTTTTATTTTATATGCTACCTTATGAGGGAGTCGTTCGAGTATTTTGTCTAAAGTTTCTTACAAGTATTAAGATTGTGTTCAGATTATTAATTTAGAGAAGTAACTTAGAAAGAGGGGGAAAAAAAAGGTGAGTGAAATGTTGTACTATGTAATTCAGTGGATTTTGGAGAGAAAGTGAGTAGTAAGTTCAAATATGGCTTACATATAATCATGTAAGGCAAGAGATGATTATAGTGGTTTGAAATATGAGACTATGGTTGTAGATGTAGTAACACTTAACTTTTGTTGTCCCAATAAAGGATGATGTGTAATAGTAGTTTTTGTTCTTCTTTGTGACCTCCAAAAAAGCAAAGAATCATTCACATTTATCAACCATTTTGTAATTTATCAAATTAAGTAAGCATAATGGAAAAATAATAATGTTAATAATCTAATGGGGAAAAAATTAGGATAAAGAAAAGATGTATTCCTTCTTTACATTATTTCCATGATAGTGGTAAATAATACTCTACTCCCAGTCCAAAATGTTATTAGTTTAAGGTTCTAATGAAGTTTCATGTACTAATTTGATTTCTTAAATTATTATGTACATATAAAAACATGAATTACAGATTCCTATGGTGGTGGGGTACATCGACAAGGCTAAATTAGAGACACAATACGAAATGTCACAATTATTTATGTTTAGACCCAACTAAAAAAACTATGGTGTACGTAATAATCTACACAACGCGCCATTGAAAATAAGCTTAAGCATTGACAATACTAACGGTGTAAGTTTCCATGTAAATGACGTACGTAAAACTCGTTGTTGAAATGTTACCTTTTCGTAATGTGCCCACCAATCGTCAGATGCTTGTATCAAACCCGTGGCTTCATTGTAACTAATGCCGGTTGGCCCATGCCTGCTGTCCATCGATTTCGACCATGACTGCCAATCCTTTTTCAGCAACGAGTACTTGTTCTGCAGTTGTTTGACGTCATGCACCTTATTTGTACGATCCAGAAAGCCTTTGCTTACAGCTCGATATCCATGCATTGTCATAGTATGGAAGCTCCCCTTGAAACCAACGTCCAACTCTTTGATAACAAGTTCCAAAAAAATCCGCACCGTGTCGGAGTCCCAAGATGCTTTATGCACGTTTGTGGACTGTTGCTGCGTCGGTTTACTACCGCGTTTGCGCAAAGCTTTGGAAGGCGTCGACTGCGTTTGGGACTGCTCCATTTGCGTACTACAATGCAACAACAATTATGGTATACGAGGAAAAATTGAAGACATTGAAACTCATAATGCGAATAAAATAAAAAACATATGAACAACTGTGTAACAACTGTCCTCCAATACAACCATCTTAGAACATTGTTATTGTTTTTTTCGTCGGCTCACACTACAGGTCTCCAATGATTTCCTCAAAATGTGTACCACAGAACGAGCTCATCTGTGTAATTAAAAAGCAACATAGTGGACAATACAGAAATAACTTTACAACAGAAATCCTAGAGCATGTACCCTGGTCAATGGGATCTCTTCACAAACGAAATCAATGAACACTAACAATTGTATGCTAATCCGAAACTTCCTGAAAATATCTATTAGATAATGAACTTGTCTGTAAAACTAGAAGGTGATAGAGGACATTACAGAACAACTTTACCAGAGGAACCCTAAAG